AGAGCGCATAACAACGTATATTATTATATTCCTTTATATATAAGTACATAGCCGTCTCTCTGCCGCCGCCTGCAAGCAGCGCTGCTACGAGACTTAGCCTTACTTAGACTTAAGAAATATTGTAAAAGAACAGAGACATTTTGATTGTTGGAGCGGCACCTCAGCTGCTTCATCTAAATGATAGAGCGGCATCTTTGCTGCTCCTTCTAAATAAAAATCCAACTAAAACTAATCCCCTGGAGTTATCATATGACACTTTACTACCACTTGTAGGCCCTTACTGGTTTTTAGCTGGTACGTGTAATAGTTTTTCTGAGCATTGTCCAGATATTTGGAAAAGGTTCGGTAGTGCTCTTAAGTCTAGGTTTGCACCTTTGTTTCGTGGATGTTCCCTTTGATAAGCGGGACAACATGAAAGTTGTCACCGTTCCCGAGCAACGCCGCCATTTGGTTGACTAGGGCACTCGAGCTTTTGTCTCTAATATAGATTGGACATCCTTTGTCATAGATGGCTTTCGTAAGGGATATCAAGCCGATGTAATTTTCACAGACTTAAGAAAAGCATTCAGTAAATTATTAATTCAGTAGATCACTCACTCTTTCTGGGTAAAGTAAATATGCTGGGATATTCTACAGACCTCTTAACGGGGATCCCCAGCTACCTAGATGGAAGGACACAAAGACCCTCAAAGCGTCCCTCAAAGAATTCATCTTGGCCTGTTGTTATTTACTCTTTGTATAAATGACTTGCCCCCTGCTTTAACGAACTCTCTAGTTCTTATGTATGCAGGTGATGTAAAGCTGTGTCTTCAGTACAAATCCATCTCTGCCCAATGCAGTTTTCAGTCTGACTTTGATAACTTTAAAAAATGGTTTTCAGCTAACGATTTAATACATAATGGATTAAAATGCAAGCTTATGTCTTTTTATCGTTCTTGCCCTTTGCAGGCTACGTATACTCTATATGGGATTGCCTTAGAGAAATTAGCTCAAGTTAATGATCTCGGCGTCCTATTAGACATTAAACTTAAATTTTCCGACCATATTTCCTTAATGGTAAATAAGGCTAAAGAAGTCCTCGGTTTTATTAAAAGGTGGTCAATAGAATTTAATGACCCGTATATAACCAAAACAGTATTCATATCTTTGGTCCGTCCGATACTGGAGTACGGCTCATGTGTCTGGAGTTCCCAATATGGAGTACATCAGGACATCAGGATTTTAGTAAACTTTTACTTATAAACTTACCTAGCTTAACAAATCGTTGGTCAATTGCTCGGTGTAGTTTTTCTAAATAACCTAATTAATGGGGATTAACTAACACGCTCATAGTGTCATATTCATAGTGTTAAATATAGGCGCTCATCAGGAGCGTGATGGTCTTATCATCGAGGCCTGCATCGAAACGCCCTAATCCGGGTTTATCCGACGCGTCCGGTTTGATGGCGCCAACGCTAAGGTATGAGACGGGGAAATCACTTACTCTTCCGGTCACTCTCTTTGCAGCTCTTCCTGCTTCCGAAAGATATTTTCTCCAAAAAGAACACGAGCGTGGCCACCCACCAAAAAGTGCAATGCTCTGTTTATTAATGCAGCCCTGACAGTGTGGGGCAACGAAGACGGATCGGCGGTAGACGGCGCTAGATGACGCTTATATTTATATTTATATTTATATTTAAATACAACCGTTCTCCATTTAAATACAACCCAAAAGGCATCCCCATCAAAATAGCGAGAAAGCGATCAGAGCTGAGTCCAGTAAAGCCCTGGGATAGGTAACTGGAATAAAGGAACTTGAGACGACGAACCCTGGGCTGACGGAGAGCTGTATTCTGGCACCTGAGTACGCGGGGTAAGCTCCCGCCGAAATGGCTGCCAGGCAAATGCAGCTTCTGCCCCGCCCAGCTTATATTGGGCAAGTCTCCAGAAAACGCTCCTTAGGTGTCGCCTTTAAGCTGGCCGAGCAGGCTCAGATGACCATCTGGCTCTGAACTCTACACCTCGTAAGGAGAGGCAACAACACTGCAGGACCTCGGGAAGGAGATCGCGCACCTAGTGGAGATGCTGGAGGACGGTAAAAGGAGGTCCATCCACCAGACAATGAGGGATACCATAGAGAGCATCCGAGCTTTCTACGAGCGACTGGCCGCTCAGACGGAAGAGCAGGGACGTAAGGAAGCGCCTAAATCCCACCAGGCGTCACAAACATCGCCCTTTTTTAACCGGTAGCGGAACCCAGAAGAAAGGGAACAGGCCCAGACCCCCCAAACAACAAGAGGAGCAAGAGGGAGAGTTCGCAGGCGGCGACACGAACGAGGATGGAAGCCAGGGCACCAGGGCAGGCCGTGGAACCTGCAACTCAGGTGAGCAAGGACGTCCAAGAATGGAAGCTGCTTGGCCCTAAGAAGAAACTGCCGAAGAAGCAGCGGGCAACTAGCTCAATGCCCAAAGAGAAGACAAGGTCGGATGCACTGGTCATCACGGCTAAGGGCGAATCTAGCTACGCCGATATCCTGCGACGGGTGAAGCAGGACAAGAAGCTGCAAGGACTAGGCAAAGCAGTATCGAGGATAAGGAGGACCCAGAAAGGAGAGCTACTGCTCCACCTAAAGAAATCAGGGGAGGCAACAGCAGCATTCAAAGCTCTGGTCAGGTGGATGATCTGGTCAGGATGATGATTAGGTGGAAGTGCGTTCCTTGTCGCACAAGATCGAAATCGAGTGTAGGGATCTGGACGAGATCACTACAAAGGAGGAGGTTTCTGAAGCCATTGGAAAGCTGGTGGAATCACCAGGGGTGCCGGTAAACGATATCCTTTTAAGGAAGCCTTTTGGCCAGACGCAGACAGACATAATTAGGCTGCCAGCAGCGTGTGCTCGAAAGCAATGAAGATAGGCTGGTTGAAGGTAGGCTGGGTGCGGTGCAGACTCAGGGAAAGGACCAGAGTCATTAAATGCTTCAGATGCCTCGAGTTTGGGCACATGGCGGAAAAATGTCAGATCGCCATCGACCGCTCACGAATGTGCAGAAGATGTGGCAAGGACGGCCATATTGCAAAAGACTGCGCGGAAGAAACAAAAAGTGCGTTCTGCAGCAACGCCGGGAAGGAAGCAGGACACATAGCAGGAAGTGGGAAATGTCCGATGTTCAGGAGCGCCCTCTCACAAATGAAAATCTAATGAAGTGCACCCAGCTCAACCTCAACCATTGCGGGGTGGCTCATTCGCTGCTTAGGCAGGGGGTCAGAGACGAGCAGACTCAGGTAATACTCATCTCGGAACCATATAGGAGCATCCCAGGAAACGGATGGCTGGCAAGCAGCTGCAAGGGAGTGGGTCTGTGGTCAACGGAGACGGCCCCCAGGACAAAAGGACATCCAGCGAAGGTTTTTTACCGGCCAAAATAATTGGGGTTACATTCTACAGCTGCTACGCCCCGCCAAGATGGGAGTTCTCGCGCTACCCAAGGATGCTAAGAAGCTTGGTTGCGAATGCAAGAGGCAGATTGCTGGTGGTCATTGGAGGGGACTTCAAGGGCTGGTCCACGGATTGGGGAAGCCGAGTATCGAACTAGAGAGGCACCAGTCTCCTGGAACACCTTGCGGCACAGGACGTGGTCTTGGCCAATAGAGGCCAAAAGCTGACATACAACAAGGCAGGGCGTTAGCAGCGCTAATACTAATAAGGAGGTGCAACTAGGAGGTCAGTGATGCTTTTACTTTCAACGTAGTAAGTAAGTAAGTAGAAACGGATTCCCAAGGTGACAGGACCGAAATGCATTTGGCCACGCATTTGGATCGAGAAGCACTCTCGGTAACTCTGCGGACGCTGGACCGGACTTCATCATCCTTCCCGGAGGGTGCAGCGGAGGAACTTTCAGGATCACTAGCCGATGCTTGCGACAGTGTCATGCTTAGGAGGAAACTCAGCAGAAGAGGAGCATCAGTATACTGGGGGAACCAGGACATTCAGCAACTAAGGACCGCCTGCCTGCGGGCAAGAAGACGCTTCTTGAGGGCAAGAGGCTCAGAGGACCTAACCACCAGAACGGAGGATTTCAACGCAGCTATGAGGGCCTTGAAACTGGCTATAAAAGGCAGAAAACGTCAATGCTTTAAAAAAAATCTGCGACGAGGTGGAGGTGGACCTATGGAGCACAGCCTACAAGGTCGTCATGAAAAGGTTAAAGGGCAAGAACACCTTAGACCAACATGCCCTACCCTATTAAGGAAAATTGTGGAGGCTCTGTTCCCGAAGTACCCGCCAAAAAGGGAGATTATACCAGCCGATGATGGGGAGCCATTTAAGCCAGTAACGGAGGAGGAGATCTTGAACTATGCAAAATAGATTGAGGCTGGAAAGACTCCAGGATCAGACAGAGTCCCAAAGTCCGTCCTGAGGCAAGCCATGCAGGAGAAGCCGGAGGTCTTTGCTGAGACCTTCAACAAGTGTCATCAGCACGGCACTTTTCCAAAAAATTGGAAGAGGTAGAACCTCATTCTGCTGCCGAAAGGGAACAAGGAGACAGACGACCCATCAGGATTCAAGCCCATATGTCTCCTAGGGGAACGGTAGGGAAAGTCCTCGAGATGGCCATAGCTTCTCGCATCTCGAAATTCGCAGAGGCCAAAGGAACGGTCTCGGTCAGCCAGTATGGTCAGCCAGTACGGTTTCCGGAAGGCGCGCTCTTCGGTGGACGCCATCAATGCCGTGACCGACACGGCGAAAGCAGCCATAGCGGGAACTCGGTGGAAATGGGGAGAAAAGGAGTATTGCGCGATGGTAACACTAGACATCCGCAACGCCTTCAACTCGGCTAATTGGACACGTATCCAACGAGCCTTGTTCTTGGCAGGCACTCCTACATACTTACAACTAATATTGTCCAGCTACCTTTCAGATAGGACACTGCTGTATGACACGGACGAAGGAGCAAAATCCTATGAGGTGACTGCGGGGGTGCCGCAAGGATCGGTCTTCGGGCCACTTCTTTGAAACATCATGTACGTCGAAGTACTCAGGATCAAAATACCGACGGGATGTAAACTCATCGGCTTCGCGGACGACCTAGCGCTGCTCGTGGTGGCGAAGGAAATCAAGAACGTGGAAACCAATGCGAGTGAAGCAATATGAAGAATATCAACCTGGTTATCTGACTCTGGACTGGATCTATCAGCACATAAAACGGAGGCAGTTCTCTTCACGAGCAGGAAAAAGGTGGAGTACATTACCATCCAGGTGGGCAACTGCTGCATCACGACAAAGGAGACAATTAAATACCTAGGGCTAATGCTGGACAACAGGATGTCCTACGGAGCGTACGTGGAGTACTCCACCATTAAGGCTGCAAAGATCCAAGGAGCCTTAATGGGAGGCCCAAAGGAAGGCAGGAGACGTCTTTTAGCCAGTGTCGTCACGTCGGTCTTGCTGTACGCAGCGCCGATATGGGCTGCGTCAGTCAGAAGATAACAGAGGCTTAAGAAAAAGCTAGGGACATCGTACCCACTAGCGGCCCTACGCGTCATATCCGGCTTTAGAACCATATCCGAGGAAGCTGCCATCGTTCTAGCCGGAATGATTCCAATTGATATACTGGCTAATGAAGCGGAGGAAATCTACGCATCCAATCGGCAACGGGGAAGGAATTCATCCCGAGGGGCCATCAAGTAGTCAGCCCGACAAGCGGCATTATCCTCATGGCAGGAGAGGTGGGACTCAACGAACAAAGGTAGATGGACGCACAGGCTATTCCCAAACATCCAGGAGTGGATCGGAAGAGATAACGGTCAGGTTAATTACAAGCTTACCCAGTTTCTTACAGGCCACGGGGGGTACAGAAAATACCTCCATAGATTCGGACACGACGAAAGTCCAGTGTGCCCCAACTAAACAGGAGCAGACCAGGACCCAGAGCACATTTTTTACAATTGAAGGAGGTATCGTGCCATCGTCGCATCGCTACCAGATCCGGAGCAGCTAGTGTAATTCATGTGTAGCTCACAGGAGCATTGGGACTAGCATTGGGTAAGCATTGGGCATTGGATAATGGTAGCTTAAACTCAGTAATCCTTTGCAGTGGTACCGCGGGGTCTGTGGTGTGTGCGGGAGTGTCTCTAGTATGTAGGCGCTGGCTAGGCATGCCGGTAAATCGTGCATGCTATTGATACGGGGCAAAAATATCTAGGATAGGATATATAGGACTTTCACCTCAATGGCGCAATTCAAAAAAAAAAAAAAAAGGACAGACAGAAGGACAGACGGACATGCTTATACCCTGCAGAACTGGAGGTGTCAATCGGCCATGGGTAAGTGTTTACCTCGCCGATCAATACATGGGTACTTCTAAAGTGACCCTATAGTAAACGAACGTCGAACCACCTAGTCGACTCGAGTTTCCGATTGGCCCTGGGTAAGTGCTTACCTCGTTGATAACTACATGGGTACTTACTAGATTCACCCACCCAGTTAATAAATATATGCGCATTAGCGCATAAGTACAAAATAACGGCAAGCATCGCTTTTGTTTTTGTTATTTTGTGGAAAGAGAATACACAAGATTAAAGACAAAACTTCGATTATGCTTTACATCGCTGTTTGTTTACGCGTCTTTGGTGCACTGCTTACAAAAACAATTGTCTAGAAAGAACAGTTTGTTTTATTTCGTGCTACTCTTTCGCTAAAACGCAGCTGTGTTTTCCGGCTGACAAAATTTTTGCAAGCATTTGAGTTAAGAAGTGCAAAGGGGATCAATCGATTATTAGGTGAGTAACCTAAAAAATAATATATGTTTGTAATATAAAATATGTTTATGTATATTTTATGTATAAATACATATGTATAAATATATTTTAGTCAATGAAGTGGTCTTGGCGTATAATGTGGATGACGTTCAGGGGAAAGGTGCCCTAAGAAAAGAAGAAAATTTCTTTGGCGTTATGATCGGTGAGTATTTTAAAATATAATTGTTTAATCCTTTTTATTTTTAGATTCAATCTAAAAAGCCTACCTATTTTTAGATTCAAACTCAAGCAGCCTAAAAGTAATGAAAGAAAAAACCCCGTTATAAAAAAGAAAAATTTAAACCAAATAAAAACTTTAATTGCAATTGTACATGTTTTTTAATTTCTAATGGCAGGCCCCTCCATGGGGTGCAATGTAAGTACTTACTTCACCAACCTCTCCATGGGGTCCGATGTAAGCACTCATTTTATCGACCCTTCAATGGGGTCCGATGTAAGCACTTATTTTACCGGCCATTCCATGGTGTCCCATGTAAGCACATATTTTACCGGCCGTTCCATGGGGTCTAATGTAAGTAGTTTCTTTAAAGACCCTAATATGTTGCACTATTTCACTAGTTCGTGGGTAATCGAGGCGGTGGCGATTAAAAAACGCATGGCTAGACGCCACTTTGTAAGTAGTGGTGGTCTGCTATCTTTAAAAACACGAAAGTTGGGTCATTTCCGATCATTCAGTTATATGGCAGCCATAGGATATAGTGCCCCAAATCATTTGAAACTTGGTAAGTCATCTTGGGAGCTTCAAATGTATACAAACCAAATTTCAAAGCAATAGCTTGATAAACAAAAAAGTTGGGGCAAATCGGCCAGATCGGTTATATGGCAGCTATATGAAATAGTGCCCCAAATCATTTGAAACTTGGTATGTAATCTTAGGAGCTTCAAAAATGTATACAAACCAAATTTCAATTCAATAGGTTTAAAATTAGAGTTTATGCCAAAAAAAACGAAAAAAAAACCATAGTGCAGCGTAAACACAAAGGTCTCCTAAGCGATTCCTTATTACAGATTTCAAGTTTAATTGACAAATTTAATCATCCTATTTTTCGAATCGCTTGAGTCATTCTCTTAATTAGTTTTTAGGATAAATTTCTTAAGCCGAGGTTCGATTATTGATGGTTGAACCAGAGTCGGGGAGTCATTTTTTAATCGAGACCGCGAACGTTTCACAAAAAAAATTATTAAGTGTCGTATATTCACTTTGCCTAATTAATAAAGTTTTAACACAGTGGGGGGCAAAACTAACACATGTTTAAAATTTGAGTTTGTGCGTAACAGAGAAAAACAATGAGAGTAGAGAATTCACTGAGCGAATAAAACGTATTTTTTTATTTCTTTTTTCGTTAATAAGTTGGAATCGGCACAAAAATTGAGTATTTTATTTTAAAAAAAGCTTTGCTAGCAACATTTTTTAAACAAATGAAATGCTTTCATATCTATATTCTCCATGAAGAAAACTTTTTTCTGCCCAATTTCTAAATAAAATTTTTCTCAGTGGAAACATTTTGATTTTTAAGTTTGGGCTGTCAAATGAGTCAAAATGAGAGCAATTGAGAGAGCTTCTAAAAAAAATTGAGAATGCTTACACTGTCAGTGTGCCGGCAGCACTGCGGCAGAATTTCCTACCCTATACACGGGTGCTATGTAAAATGAGTTTGGTTTAACACCAAAGTTATATAATAAAAAAGTAGAAATTATATTTTTTTTGATTCATTGTGCCGGGTCAGGCATTAAGCAACTGTTCGGATAAATAATTAAAAATAACGTAAGCATTGTTGGTCGCAAGCCGACAAAAGTTTAACAGAACTAACTTAACCAAAACAATTTCATACACAGTGTTTTGTGAACATACGTGGTTAATAAGAAAAAAGTTTGCTTATAAGCAAATTATAATAGATATTATAATTAATTATACATAGACATAAAAATAAACGGCAGTTCGCAAGTGCATATAACCGCAAGTGTTCGCCGCGAGCAAATAAATTTTGAGCGTTAAAATTTTTGGCGGTGGAATTATTTACTGCGGGTTGTTCGGAAGTTAATATAATTAGTTTTGAACTCATAGGGTTGTCATAGGGTTGCGCATGTCATAGGGTTGCGCATGCAACCCGTAGTGCTATTTTAAAAAGCAAGGCCCTGGGTATTCTCCAGGACTTACAGAGGATCCAAGGAGCTCTTCAGCCTGTTTCTAAGATGGATGATGCCATGCTCCACGTGCGACATGGCCAGAAAGTCACCATGTTCAGCGACTTCAAGGCCATCCACGGGGAGCTTGAGGATTTGGAAATTTCGCAGATCAGTAGTCCCCTCCGATGGACTGTTTCGGAACTCGTAGTGACAATGCAGGCCTAAATTGAGCACGAGATGACCCTTCACTCTTCCCGAATTGCTGCCCACTCCACCCTTGCTAACGGAATGTCCACCATGCAAGCTGACCCAGGGTTAAGCTTTCAAGCGTTGCCTCCTCTGCCTCTCTTTAGCTTCAGCGGTGGATACTCCTTCTTCTCTACAATCGTCGGCAGCAATCCTTATATTAGCAAGAAGGAAAAGCTGCAAAGGTTTCGATCTTGCCTTCGGGAGTCCGCTTTCGAAGCAGTTCGTTCCTTGAAAGTCTCCGACGATAATTATGATGTCGCGCTGAATTTAATGGAGAAACGATTTAATAAACATCGCTTAAGATTTTAGGCACACGTGAACGAGATTCTGGGCCTCAGTCTGTTGGAAAGTGGCTCAATAGCAGCTTTTTGAGGTATTTTGGACAAATTCAATGCCCTTATGCGAGCCTTAAAGAATTCGGGCTCAGATCAGATCGCCAGCTCCATCCTCGTCCAGGATCTGCTTTAAAGGTTGGACCCAGTTCAGACGCCATTCCTAGTCAGGCGTCGAGGGGCAAATAACAATAGATCATCCTTTATCGTAACTAATTCGCTCGCCTCTACCTGTACTTTACGCGGTGGATGGTCACATGTAATGTCTGCATACCCCCGATTTCTGTCAATGCCTCCTGAGATCCGCCTTGGTGAGGCCAGGCGACTCGGTCTTTGTCGGAAGTTTCTCCAAATGGGCCACCACATGCGTGAGTGCCTCGCTGCTAATTGTCGCAGTTGTGGAAGGAGGCATCACACCCTGCTGCATTTTCTGAAACCGCAGGCTTCTAGCTTCCAGCCTTTGGTTGGTCCTCCCACGTCAGCCATAGCCGAGTGCGCCGAGCCTGTAGCTTCTTTGCCGTCCAATGCTAATGCACTAGTTGCTCAAGGTCGGCGGCGATATATCTTTGCTTTCTACAGCAAACATTCTTGTTCGTAGCCGCGCTGAATCCCTTGTTCCATGCCTAGATCTGTTCAGCTTGGATGTCTCCAGTTGGAATATGGATGGATGTCTCCGTTTACAGCGCATCGATCTTCATATCGGAGCCAGTCTTTTTTATGAGCTGCTTTGTGTTGGGCATGTTCAGCTCTCAGTCGGCCTGCCGTTGCTGCAGAAAACCCGACTTGGATGGGTCCAGAGAACATGTTTACATGTCCAGAGAAGATCACTCATTTCCACTGCCCACAAGGATGTTCCGAAGAGCGCAACTATGCTAAATGATCAGTTGGGTTCTCTGCTCCGCCGATGCACATTTCGTTGAACATGTTGCTCGGTTGGATTCTGGGGCTTACGCTGTGAGGCTTCCGTTGAAATGTGGTCTTTAGTTGCTGGGAAAATCTTACTGCCAAGCCGTTCGACGATTTCTCTCCCTCCAAAGGAAGCTCTTTCGCCGTCCTCAATTGAATGAGCAATATGCTGCCTTCAAAAAAGAGTATTTGGAGTTGGGTCATATGTCTCCAGTTCTTGCTGATGCGAGCGTCACTAGCCAGTATATTCTACCAC